TAAAAGCAGATAGGGGCCATGTGCAAGTTTTTTTCAGGGTATGATCCAGCTATATCCAGCTTCAGCCTTGCCAGGAAGATGCTTCTCTACTTCCATCAGAGCCAGTCCCAGAAGGTCCACGGAAGGCCCGGGAAGCAAATGCCAAACAGTCGATTTGATACCAAGGCACGCGAGGATCCAGATGTTGCCTTTGGAGATCGGCTCTGGACTTTGATGGACCAGGAGCCTGAGCTTGATGTGCTGAATATGGCATATGGTATTTTTGGGGGCACTGAGACTCTGTGCATTTTCCAGGATGATGAAGATGAATTGGAAAGCGCATCCGAGGCACGAGCATTTGGGGAAGTCCATTCATATTTGGTATGTGTATATATATATATATGTTCTTTGCTTGCAAAGGTCTGGGAGGTTTCAGTGTGGGCTTCAGTCTTGTAGGCAGATGCTCCTTTGCCTTCTCCTGTCAGAGCAGTTCCACATGAGGACCCGGGAGCCTTTTCTGAGTAGATGTGCCGGAACATGGAATGCTTTTGGGTGGCAGCCATTTTTGAATTGGTACAGATCAACCTCCATCACCGGATCAGAAATTGTCTTTTTCCAAGATCTTCCATCCTGCAGTCAATAGGTTCAAAATCAGTTGTTTCTTAACGCCCTCACTCAGCACCCTCCGCACATGTCTGCTCTACTGGTTGCATTGGGCGCGTGCTTTACTATGGGGGTGTTGGTCGGCATTGCCCTGGACAAGTGCTGGAATTGGAAGAAAAGGTTTCAACTTTGGAAAAAACTGCAGAAGCAGGAGGATGAGAATGGCACAAATGCGCGTGACCATGGTTTCAAGTCTACAACTACGACCAACAGCATCCCTGAGTATGTTGTAATCTGCCGCACGGGGCAATGTTTTCATTTCAATGAGAATTGTGGGTCACTGAAAGGCAGGCGTGGTGTACAAAGGCTCCAGCGATGTTCTCACTGTGAAGCTGCAAACCGATGACCTGAGACGGCGGTTCATGCAAAATGCTTAAGCAAATGCGACCAGGTCTTGGGATGTCTTGTTGTCTTTTTTACCTTCAACCCTTCCACATGGTGGAACTTCAGCCTTGGCAGGAACATGATCTCCTGCCTTCAGTGCAAGTTCCAGGTTCGGCTCAGGCCCCCGGGAGCAGCTGCGCATGTACAGGAACTTGGAATGCCTTGTCTGTTGACAAATATAATACATATATTATATATATACATATAGTAAAAGAGTAAATTCCGACGCCTTCAACATGTTTGTGTGAGGCATGTTCAGGTATCTCAAACCATGCCTCCCATGCGCCTTATGACATTTGTTGCGGGGCTCCTTGCTGGACAGGTAGCTGAACCGGAGGACGTCGCGATGGAGGCGCGCGCACGCACGGGGGCATCATGCAGGTGTTTGGTACAGGCTTCTTTTCGGACTTGGCAGGCTGTTGGGAGCAGTTGC